CTCCTTTCTTGGTATCTGCAAGAGTAGACGTGGTTTTGGAAGATAAGTGTACCCAAGCGCAGCGTACATCAAGTAGCAAGTCGTGCTGGAATCAAGCACCAGCTCACGTTTTGAATACACGAGTTTGAATTTTATGGCCCCCGATACATTAAAATAATCCAACCTGATGAATTCACGGCCTTTTTTAGCATTAATTGCTCTGATTTATTTGAGTATTCTCATCAGGTACAACATGGGTCACATATGAACCCTCTTCCTTCTACTGCTTCTTTGGAAACAAAGATGTTTAATTCTTCGGGGTTTTTTGAGCCAATATTAACGGTAACACTATCTTCATCTTGCTGTGGGTAGATGGCATTTCTAGGTTTCCTTTGTTTCTGGTAACTTAAAAGATTGTTCCTACTCTCCATTGTTCTTGCAGGCGCAGAAATTTCGGTATGGTTTTTCTGTTTCTCCTTAGCACTTTCTGTAGTTGATAGATTCAGACATTTATCAAGTCTTCTAGCTTCTGTTTTTCTTGTTTAAAACCAGGATTTTTTTTATCTACATTTTGCATTAGTTTTTAGCAAATTAGTGGCAGCTCCAGCTTGATTCTGCTCGTAACTTCCTCGTAATGTCCTCTGCAAGCGGCACAGGTCTGAAACAAATTTTGAGCTTTTCTGTGCTCTTTGTCCCCTCCTGGGGACATGAAGACATTTGGTTTGGAGGGCAGCTTGATGCTTTCTTCTCATTGACTGTTGTGAGGACAGTGGGGTGGTTTAGTTTCAGAACGTGTGTGTCTGCTGCTCCTTTTCCCTTTGTAAATATTCTCTACAACCTACAGGACGTAGTTCAGGCTTCCTGCAACCGTGCTGTGCTTGTGAGCTCATGGGTTCACAGTGGTTTTCTGTCAACCACAACACTGATAATGGGAAATATATGCGTACGAGAATGTGTGAACTGAGAACCGAGCCAGCTCGACTGATGTATTTTTGTTTGTGTCTTTTATGTGCCATAAACCACAAAAACCTGTAAAGCACCTGGAGGAATCCTTTCTTTAAAGAAAGGGGAGAACCTACCTGAAGTGGAAAAAATATTTGATCTAAGATAGATCTCAAAATCAAATGGTAGCTCCTAAGAGGGTCAACTGCATAAACTGTCTGAAGTATTTCCAGAGAATTTGCAAGTGATCCAAGATCGGGGGATTTTTAGGTAGCGGAGAGAACAAGTCACTAGCGTGTAGTTGTCGGGAAAGGTTGGTGCAATAAACTGGATATTTGATTCGTGCATTATAGTTCTGAGTCATAATTATAAAATGATGAGCTTTATCTGTGTATGGATTCTAATTCATGTGCCGAAGTTGAAACAAGATTACTTCAGGAGGATCTGACAGTGGGGGTTACGTAACAGATCAGAAGAAACGATCGCCACGATCCCTTTGGTTTTGTAGCCTCCGTGTTTGTGAATCACCATCTGCAAGTTTTCGAACAGCTGAATTCTCAGTCTTTAAGCGTTCATTTGTGTTTGTTTGCCAAAAGGAAATGAATTCAACTTCATCGCTGTACTTTTCTGCTTTTCTAGATTTTAATAACAAGTGAAGAAGATCCTCAAAGTATTGTGAGTAAAGACGAGGATTTCTCCTCCTATCCAGGGCCTGTCATGGTAAGCAAAAGGGATTTGCAGGGGCTGTTACGGAGCAGAATAGGCTAAAATCTGAAAAACGTTAGAGAACTAAGGATTGCACGCGGGGTTGTTGGGTTCTAAGTGTAGCGCTAGACTAGGCTAATGCCTTTCTCCTAATACTATTACAAGGGGGTTTTAATGACTTTATTACTCAGGCTGCAGGAAGGAAATGTGTTTGTAATATATTTAGTTGCCTGAGTGGTTATCTTGGCAGGTTGAATAACTTTTGTAAATTACTGATACCTGAATTCTCTAAACACATCATCCTGCTTGAGCTTTCCGTCGGTCACTGCTAGCTTGTCGTGCGGGGCAGAAGGCAGCAAGCGCCGGTGCTGAAGTGAACCGTAACGCTTTGTTTCTCAGGATGAAGAGACCCAGCACAGCCTTGAATGCATCCAGGCTAATCAGATTTTTCCCAGGAAGCAGCTGATCCGAGAGGATGAGAACCTTCAGGTAATCGCCGCGCTGCTCCTCGCCAGTTAAGATTGGAATATCCCCAGCTGGGCTGAGGGTTCTCTGGCCTCTCCCATCGAGTTTTCATTTGCTATTGAGCACGGGAATGGGAGAAAAACACTTTACATGCTCGTGTATTGTTGTTAGGACAGAGAACTCGTGCATTATACGACAAGAATGTCTGAAAGGTGTAGCCATTACTTGTGTAGTAATTTCAAATGCTGTTGTTTGGGTTTTTTTACAGTTTAGGACTCTTTTTCTTTTTTTTAAACAAAATACCACTAAACTAGTTAAATACTGCCATTACTTCTTATTACCAAGAAGCCAAAAGTCTGACTGTACTGGCTTGAATTATCTTGCACAAGATGGACATTTTGTTTTCTTCATTTTTTCAAGTTCCTTTTAAAAGCAGTTCAAATTATTTATCCACGTGAGCATTCCTAGCATTTGAAGAGGTGACTTGTTTCATTTGAATAGGAAGCATTTTTAATTAATTTAAGCCAAGATGAATGTAAACGCAGGTAATTTTCAAGTTGAGCATTTACCTTTTTGCTCAGCTAACTGGAGCTTAAATCACATTTTGGAACAGTTGCAGTTTTGACGTGCGGTGTAATAGAGCTGCAGGTTTTCTAACTGGATAAACGGCAGCGTGTTGCCTGTTCCCTATTTGCAGTGAGAAATGTTTGTCTAACTGACTTGAGCTGTGTAGTGTTTAACTGTCCAGTCTGCTCGGGTTACCTGAGCTTGTTTGGTGACTATTTTGGGCCACTAGCGTTGAAGATTATTCATCGTAGGTGTTTTGCCCACTTCAGGGTGAAAGTGATAACATTATGGAAGTAACACTCTCCATGAAGTAAGGAGTGGGAGCATAGATCCCACTTGCCAAAAAGTGAGGATATTTTTGCTCTGATTTTTTTGAAAAAATTCATTACTTTCCCTGACCAAGCACTTAGTACTCAGGAAAATGAAGAGAAAATCAGGGATAACTTGTAAAAAATGCTGCAATTAACCTCTGAACGAATCTTACCCAAGACTTCCCTTCTGAGCTGTAGTGGCTGGGCAGAATTCTCAGTAGTGTTTCATTTTGATTTATGATGCTGTGTGCTTGAGTGTCTGCTCGCAGGAGGCACATACTTTTGGGAATTGGTTTCTCAAAAGGTGATTTTTTTTTTTATTTTCCCCTGATTCCGAAGGTCCCGTTCATTGAACTTCACGGCGAGAGTACGGAGTACGTAGGACGAGCAGAGGATGCCATCATTGCACTTTCTAATTACAGGCTTCACATCAAATTCAAGGAGTCTGTTGTGAATGTAAGTGCTTTTCATACTACTGTGGTAATACAGGAATTGTGAACTCAGTCCAAATAAGAGAATTTGGGATAAAAGGACAGTGCTCCTTCCTTCTTTAAGGTTTGTGGCAATGAAAAAATCTCTATGACGTTCCAGTCCCTGTGTAGAGTTCAATAGGATGTTATCCACAAAAATACTTCAGTGCTATGTATATTTGTAATCAACTCAGTAAAATAAAGTCCAAAGAATCGAAGTATTATTTTTCTCCTGAAGATGGAGTTTTATTATTTTTTTTTTACCTATCTCTTTATGTCAAGACAAGTCTTCTTGCTAGTTGTTCATAAGTGCCACGTGTTGGTCACAAATTCTGAACTATGCAGTGGCGAGTTAAATGTAAAAAAATCACATGTCACTCCAAAGCAGACAAAGGCAAGGAAAAAAATATAAGAATCCACAAGGGTCCAACACGTACGTGACTGAGACGCATGTGGCACGTCAGCAAGATCTCCTGTGCACCAAACTGGTCTAATTTTTGATCCCGTGTCAATCTTTAAATTTTCTTTTAATTTCTGCCGCAACCAAATTAACAGTAAAAACGTTGTTTACTGAGCTGCAGCTTTATTGGTTTCTGTTGTCTCTAGTCGTACAGCTCTGGGATCGGCAGCCTGTGAAGGGCGCGGGTGTCACAGGTATCACTGCTCCCCTCAAGGGCTGATTTGCTTCGTGTGTTGCCCTGTCCTAGGCTGGGCAGACACGTCTCCTGGGCTGATGAATGGGTACAGCATTCACGGGCTAAAATCCCCTATTGGGGTTTTTCAGCAAAGAAAGGTATTATTTCAGAACACGGCAATTACTGAAAGTGATGCCAAAAATTGGGAATTTAAGGGCTTATTATCTTTTGCTACCGACCCTACAGGATACAAGTCCATGCAGAGGTAGTGTAATTTTACTTTTTGCTTATCTTATTCTCTTGTCAACCCTCAACTATCGCCTGAGACTGACAGAGTTAACCTGTAGGTGCCACTTTGTGTCGGAGTGGTGGCCCAGGGCCAGCTGGGCTGCCTCGAGCGCACCTCTACGTGCTGCTGGCAGTGGAGAGAAGATGCATCGAGGGATGTGTTTTATGGGCTACCTTTGCGATACAAACACAAATTCTGGGGCTGAATTCTGCCAAGGGGCCTGCCACAGTAAATCCGTAGTGTGTTGTTTAGTGTTTATATTTTTTGGTTAATCCAGAATCTGAGTGTTGTATAACATGGGCAACTAGAATTAAGAAAGCAAAGGACCAAATATTTAAATAGAAGGAGCTTAGACATGAGAAACGAGCAGCCCTAGAAATCCAGAGTTTGTCCTGAGGAGTTCCAGGACACGATGGAGTTCCGTTAGTAGAGAAGCCGTGAGCACATGTACCACACTTACTGTTAGATCTGCCCTTAGGATAATGGGGGGTGTTAATTTTAAAGAATTTTCCATTTAGTATTTTTGAGCACTAACAAGAACTGCTGTTACCTTAAATGATATTCTTGGTATTCAGGTAAAAGTCTATAAAAGTTTGTCACTACTACCATATTAATTTTGCTTCCCTGACTTTCGTTCCCCTCTCAGTCCGATATCTCAACAGTTGTTAGTTCTGCTTCATATGCCATCGTTAACCAGAAAGGTTCAATTAGCTGGTGCATGCGCTAGAACAGAACATAAATTATTCTTCCGTAACCATACGTGGCCATCACTGACAATGTAGCATGAACTCTGCTGGAATCCAAGGCAGACAGGATGTGGAACGTCTTGAAGGATGAAACGTGCTTGCAGGAATTAGGAGCCACATTTCAATTGTTATAATTCAGGGTAATAATAATTTTGGTTCTTATTGGTCAAAATTATTGATAGGATGGTGATGTGCTCAGTTAAATCTTCACAGGTTGTTTGATTTTGTTGTTGTTGTTGTTAGGCCTGTTCAGAAAACACCTGTAAGATTTTTTTTAGAAAATGTATAAACATTTATTAATGTTAGTTGAGGTTTTCTTAAATTATTATTTTGAATGATTTTCATAAGAATCCCTACCCTGACTAAATCCAGCTGCCCTAACAACCTTGTCATCTCAGCAAGGTGCTTCCATGTAAGAAAGAACTCTTAGCAAATGCGGTACTATAGTACCTAGAAAACAAATTGATTCCCCGTGTCTGTGTGTTCTGCGCAGGCATCTCCTCTTGAAGTAGGTGGGATGTTCCCACGGTAGATGGGATCCTCGAGAGAAAGCTGAATGCGTGAAGGAAATGGAATCAGTTAAAAGCAGATTCCTGGTCTTTGGGTTGTTGATTTGGTTTTTTTTAACTTCACCGTTCTCTTTTTACACTTCTCTAGGACACCTGTCCAAATGACACTCGTGCCACCTCAGTGAGTGGCACAGTGCTGCTGGATCGCTTGCTGCACCTGTGCCCGAAAAGTAAATCAGGGTTCAAAATTGCTAACGCTCACATCGCAGCGCTGCCGAGAAGGGCTGCGTGTGTCAATCTGCTCCGTGGGTAACTTCCTAGATCACAGTAGTAAGAGGAACATGGTGTTTTAAATGCAAAAACAAAAGATCCAGTAGACCGTGTGTAAACTGGAGGGATTACACCGTTCAAAAGTGTTGACTTACATCTATCCATGGGATAAAAACGCAGACTCAACAGTGATCTCTGGGTGCACAGGGGAGGGTCGGTTCCCAGGCCGAGCCCTGTTGATCGGCTTCCCTTAAGAAAATTTCGAACTTAGCAGCTGGCGAGTGTTTCTGTGAAATCGTTTTTCTTTCTGTTGCATTCATGGGAGAAATAAAATTTCAGTGTAGTTTACTCATGTGTAGCCTCTTTCAAATAGTAGATATTTGGAAGCAGTAAAAAATAAAAATCGTGCTGGCAAGGCAAGAGAGACTTTAAGTCTTCATGACTGAGTTTTAGTAGAGTTTTTTTTTTTAGTAGATTTAGAGTTTTAGATTGTTTTTTGGGTTTTTTGTAGTACGAGCTTTCCATTCCTTGGCCTTAGTAGAGAGAAAAAAAAGGTTGGTTTAGTCTCTTCCATGCATCTGCAGCCCAGCTGGGGTTCATCTGTGCTGAACAATAGCTTGGCCCTTGTTTCCCCCTCAGGTCCTGCCGCTCAAATTCTGTGCACGTTAATTGTGAAAGCAGACGGAAGACTAAATGATTACTTTCAAGTCAAAAACCTAAGTGTACTTAGATGTAATTAAAAGCAAAATTTTCTTCAGATGCTCCTTGCAGGTTATAGGAACGGGATTGTGCCGGGGGGGGATTTGACTCCCACCACCTAGGAGAGTCCTTGAAGACTTTCTGGGCTGACCTGACATCTTCAGTTCCTCCGTATCTTGTCTCAGGCCATGCCTGGGGATGTGCAGCACCTGGTGCTGGTTGGAGTACCCAGCCTGTGCTGCAGCCCTGCCACCAGTTCAGGCTCTGAACTGGGAAAGCAAGTGCTAATTACAACTCAATGGTCCCGAGGTGCCACGTGGTGTCCTGGGGAGACTGGGGCTGTGTGGAGCCCAGGGTAGGGTGCAGAGCCTTGTCCCGGGGGAAGGGGCTGACTCATGGCACTGTTTCAGCAGCGTAAATGTAACCTCTGCTTTTCCTAACTACGGAGATGTATTTCTCTAAATATGTCTTGTGCTGCTGTTAGATCACAGAATCACAGGATGTCAGGGGTT